AGAAGCTTCAAGGTCAGATGCTTCTTCAAGCAGATCTGATCAGGTCACTGCCTGTGAGTCACCAAGGGGGGAATATTTTCTTTCTGTTCACAGGAGAACATCTCCTGCCTGAGTACAGACTGGCTATCCATCTGAAATGGGAGTTTTCTTTCTTTGCCATGCACTGCCTGCCAAGATCAGTTCCCCTGCCTGGAACAACACCTGCCCTGGAACTATTATGGAAAGGTTTGAGTTTCCTGACAAAGACCTTCTGCAATGGATATTGCCAACACAGCCTTGAAGACTTACAAGAGGGGGCCTAAAAGAAGCCTTCATCCCTGAGCTGGGCCATCTGCTGGGAGGGACTGATGTACACAGTCTAACACCAGATTTTCCTGGCTGGGTCTCCACCAGCCTGTCCCAGTCCCAGTCCCATCTCAACCTGACTCCTTATACCAGTCCCAAGTAACTCTCCCACCAAGCCTGTTGACTCCAGGGCTATGTCTGCATCATGGGCTGCACATCAGCTCCCACCTCCTCCCTCACTACAGCCCCATACACTGTCAGGTTTCCTTACAGTTATTCTCAAAACCAGATGGTCACACCACTTTCTTTTCTACAAGGCCACCTTTCTGCAAATAACTTGGACAATTCCAAGTTGAAGTAGAAAAGCTGAGAGGTAAGACAGTGTGTCCCTATTCCTTTCTCCAATTTCTGAACTATCACCTGTGGTGGTAATCTTTATAGATGTTACTTTCAAAATGCAAAATGTATCTACAAAACACTTGTGAACCTGAGTCTTTCAGAGAATTACTGCTTTGTAACACTTCGGCTAAATTTCTTGGAAATGACAAGAAGGATCAGACAAAACCTAAATGGATTTGAAGTCTCTGCTCAATGCTTTAGAGATGCGAGAACATCTCAGCTTTTCATGCTATCTGGACTAAACTTAAAGTACTGCTGAGTTGTTTCAACTTCTACTGAATGTTTGTGTCCACTGGTGGAAAAGATAAAATGGGAAAAGGAGAGGTATGTTGAATTTATTTATTAAATTTATTATGCCTAAAATGCTGTGCTGCATCATCTCTGCAGGAAAAAACAATCTGAATGAAACACACAGGACTTTATTTTAAAAACTGTAGAGCTGTAGTAGGTTAAAAGCTACACATCTTGTACTTCTTGATTTGTCTTTGCAAATGAATTTTAAACCTAAGGTACATTATTAAGAGGCTGGAGCACTTTTCAGCTTATCACAGCACATCACACTTTCAGATTTTTTTTTTTTTTTTACTAGAAAGTCACAATTATCTTATGTTACAGTGTGATACATAAGGTACACATCTGGTCATACTATATTACTGTCAGAACAGTAGTTTATATTGGACAGGCACTGCTTCAGCACACAGTGTGTGCAAAGGCCACAAGAGAATTTCCTGAGCTTTACTCTCCAAGGATCCCTAGTACTCCTTAGCAACCTTGTGGGGAGAACTGAAATCACAGCCTCCAGGCAGCAGGTGATAAGTCCCTGTATACTTGAAAGAGTTGCTGGCTACAGCAAGCACATGTACATTTCCAGAATAAAATATTTAACAGCACATCATCAAACTAGGATATAGATAAAAATATTAAGATTGAACACAGCAAGAGGAATAGTGGCAAGTAGACTCCTGCAGTGGCCTTACATCATGGCACAGAATGCACAGCTTTAGATGATGCTTTTCAAGAAAGTTTGACAGCAGGCTTCCTATAAACCTATTATGGACTGAGGAGCACCAGAAAGGTGTGAAATGACAGTCTGAGAGACTGTGATCTAATTGCTAGCACTGTTGACCACTAGAAGCTCTTTTGCATGTTAGCCTATATTATGGGGTGTATTATCTATACTGAACTACAGAATTCTTTCCTGGAACTGCCTCAATTACTACATTTTTTCCACTGATAAACTTTGTCTAGTGGAGTTTGCAATTGCTCCACAAGGAACAATTTTGGGACTGAAATGTCATAAGGCAGCATAAGCATAAATATTTTGCCTATCCCTTTCACTTTTAAGATACTAAGTTCTGATGCTTCTCATTCTCTGCCATACAGTTATGGGGGTAGAAGTGTCCAGGCCCTTATTATGCACAGCTGACCTTTTATTTTCTGCAAGTGCATTCAATTTCAGGTGGTTCACAGTGTGGTCTTGAAATGTTATTTTCCATCATACTAAATTAATCTGAGGGCTACATTTTTATGAACTCAAGAGTTTGCTTTCCTGTGTTGCATGAAAAACAGAGGTCACTCGGAAGGTTATAACTTTTTCAACAAAACAACTGTTGTGACACTTTTGAAAGAAAAGAAGAACAACCACTTATAAACACTGGGAAAACTACTGCATATCTAAGAAATTACACTCTTTTTTTTTTTTTTTTGTGACTCCTGTTTCTAAAAAAACCCTAGAATTCCAGTCCACATATCGTTATGATAATACTGATTTAAATGTTATATTAAGGAAAGTTTAAACTTGATCAACACTCATTTAAAACTTCATTGTATTTATACATCTCATGTAAGAGAAGCCTGTCTCCATTTTCTTTTCTACTTGTATTCGTGATTGCTGATGAGCTGTATCTTCTCTTTCCACTGTTTTCACATAATTTACTTAATGTACAGGTAGCTCCAGTTTTCACTCAGCATTTCATTTATATACTTCTCAGACTTCCAGTCAATGCTTAGCCTTTGAGTTTTGATACCCTGATCTTACATTATGTATAGTGTTCTCAATCTCAAATAATCTGATATTTAGATTACATATTACTTAAAATGTCAGTCCTTGTCCACCTACTCAGTAACTATGTCCTCAGTCACAGTGTCCTCATCTCACGTATTATTTCCCTTTTCCCTCTTGTTCACAGCCAGGAAGATTCCCATCTTTAACGTGCTGCCGGCTGCATACATGTCACAGCACAATTTTGTTTTGGCCCAGGATCTCGTTTATTTCCTAAATCACTCAGCAATGAGCCACAATGACTGCTCCCTAAGACCTCATCATGCGGGGTCAGCCTTCTCTCATCATCAGGAAGTTCCTTTGAATTTTAAACTTCTGTAGAAACCCGTGTCTATTCACACAGACACTGTCATTCGGATGTTATTGATTACAGTCACCACAAGCATTGCTCAGGCTAATGACCTGCTAATGACCTTCCCAGCCACTCTGACATTCGTATCGCAGGAGGTGAAGACGGCTTCTTCTTGCCTAACCTTGGATGCCCAAGATAAGCAAACATTTATCATCTCTACCTCCTCAGCCTTCTGACTCGGAAAGCTACAGACTCATTTTACCTAAAACCTTTCCGTACACTTACTCCTAAAAACAAGCAGTAATTGTCTTGTTTACTCTACAACACCAATCCTTTAGATTTCTTCTTTTGAAACTAAGTCGCGCATTTTAAGGCTATTGCCCTATTCATCATTACTTTATAAACATGAAGAGATGAAACTCTGTAACCCCAAAATTTCCGGGGGGAGGGGGGGGGGTGCTTTTTTTAAATAACAACAACAGCGAAATTATCAGTATTACTACGAAGGGGTAACCGTAAGGACGCGGAGCCCCGCTGTCCCCGGCGGAGAGGGACGAGCCGAGCCCCGCGGTTGCGCCCCTGCTGCTCTGCCACCTCTGGGTGGCATGGGGTGGTCAGGGGGCACGGGGGGCACAGGGTGCACGGGGGGCATGGGGTGGTCAGGGGGCACTGGGGGGGGCACGGGGGGCTCTGCAGAGCTTGGGGGTCTGGGGGTGCCAGGGCTGGGGGTCCCCGGGGGTCCCCGGGGCTCCGGGTGACGCTGGCGCCGTTCCTGCCCCCCCAGCCCCAGCAGGGCCGGGGTAGCCCAGGGGGGTCTCGGGGGGTCACCAGGGGGTGCAGGGGCGGTGGGGATGTCCCCAAAGTGTCCCCAAAGTGTCCCCAGGTACTTCCACCACCCATCCACAGCTCTGAGCCACCCATGGGCTCCGTGTCCCTGTGTCCCCACCATGTCCTTCATGTGTCCCCAAGTGTCCCCACAATGTCCCCTTGGTGTCCCCAATGTCTCCTGGGTGTCCCAGGTACTTCCACCACCCATCCACAGCTCTGAGCCACCCTTGGGCTCCGTGTCCCCACGGTGTCCCTGATGTCCCCAGAGTGTCCTTGATGTGTCCCCAATGTCCCCTTGGTGTCCCCTTGGTGTCCCCAGGTACTTCCACCACCCATCCACAGCTCTGAGCCACCCATGGGCTCCGTGTCCCAGTGTCCCCACCATGTCCCCACAGTGTCCCCACCATGTCCCCAAGGTGTCCCCAGTGTCCCCACAGTGTCCCTGGTGTCCTCAGAGTGTCCCTGATGTGTCCTCACAATGTCCCACTGTCCCCAAAGTGTCCCCAATGTCTCCTGGGTGTCCCAGGTACTTCCACCACCCACCCCACGGCTCTGAGCCACCCTTGGGCTCCGTGTCCCCGTGTCCCCACGGTGTCCCCACGGTGTCCCCAGTGTCCCCTGGGTGTCCCCCGGGTGTCCCCAGGTACTTCCACCGCCCGGCCGACGGCTCCGAGGGTCTCTTTGACGCCGTGTCCATCATGGACGCCGACATCCTGGGCTACTGCCAGAAGGAGGCCTGGTGCAAACTCGCCTTCTACCTGCTCTCCTTCTTCTACTACCTGTACAGGTGGGCACGGGGGCACTGGGGGGACTGGGGGGGACTGGGGGGGACTGGGAGGGACTGGGAATGGACTGGGAGGGACTGGGA